ACCAAGCCGGTTTGGATGATCTAACCACTGTTAGATTCGTCTTGATAAGCTCTACAACTTTACTTAAAGGCTTAAAGGTAATTAACTTAGTACAAAAAAAGTTTTCTTTGAAGAATCACTATTTTTCTTAAAAAATTTTTCAGATTTCTGTCTATAGTAATTTATATATAAAACTACGTCACGTTACACTATGATCATTCTTCTGTTCACTGGAGAATCATCAATTAAATTAATTCTGTAATTATAATAAAATTTTCTATCTAATATTACCATAAATATTATCATGCTTTTTACTAAATATCTTTGTTTATAAAAAACAATAACATAAAGTAGTTAGGAAAGTTGTAAAAACATTGTTTTTGGCCCATTTATCTCATTTTTATTAAAAAATTTACATCGTATTTGACTTGTGATATTACATGATCACATAGTAAACATGATCACAATTATAACTTTAGGATGATTGCATAATTAATCTGTAATAAAATCAAAAGTATATTAAAGCTAAGTTATATTCGAATGAAAATGATGTAATGATTAATATTGTAAAATGAACAAAAATAATAATGCAAACCTTTTGTATTAAAAAAAAATAATATAAATTACAACATTAAATATATACAATATTACAACAAAAATGTTTCAAAGTTAAACTATAATAAAAATGGTTATCATCTGATCTCACGAAATAAATATAAGAATACATTTAAAAAGTCATAGGACGACTTTCATATGATTGGTTGCTTAAGTCAATTTAATTATACATTATTTATACAGTTTAAAATACTTTTTCAAAAAAATAAAACCACAAAGAATAAATGAAAAAAAAGTATATAGGAGGTATTATTAGTGTTGTAGAACTCCACTATTGAAAATGATCAAAATCTCTTTTTGTTTTAGCGAAGTTAGTATGATAATAACTTCTTAAAAATAGATCGAACAATGCTAACTTCTCCAAAACAAAAAGGGATTTTGATCATTTTCAATAGTGGAGTTCTACAACAATAATAATACCTCCTATTTACTTTTTTTCATTTATTCTTTGTAGTTTTATTTTTTTGAAAAAGTACTTTAAACTATATAAATAATGTAAAATTAAATTGACTTAACCAACCAGTCATATAAAAGTCGTCCTATGATTTAAAAAGTGTATTAATTCTTTACACAAGATGGTTTCCTTTTCTCTTAGTATCGGTAATAACAATAAGCATTATTTATATTTGCTTCCAAATATCCATTATAAGTTCAAAGCCGAGAATAAGTTAATGAAGTAGTAAAATAGAAGCTTTTGATGATTGAACGCGATATACTAGAATACTATATAATTTGTCTTTATCGAATTCAAGATAAGCGAGCAATGCAATTATTTTAAAAGCGTTGCACTGTAATCAAAAACAATGTTTTTGCAAAAAAGTTTTTGTTTAAAAAAACAATCAAAAGTATAAATTACATACTACTTCATGGCCTGAAAGAGGACTTGCATTGCTGTTATAAATGATGCTGCGATAGGTATCAACATTATACTTATAGCTACTTGAATTATCGTTATTTTGAATGTTAAATTAAAAATAGGTTAGTACCACAATCAACATAACTGATAAATTTCATTTATTGCAGAATGTAAGTTTTTCAGCAAGAGAATTGCTTGAGGAATCTCTATTATTTTCCCGACAACCACTTTTCTGACAAACAAAATCCTGACAAAAGTTGACCGGAACTAACACTAACCCTAAATAATACAGGTTAATTTATCAGGATTTTGAGGTGATTGTCAGAATAATAATAGGATCCCTTACTTGAGAATCATCGTTTATTGCAGTTTGCAAAATTATGTGAAATTTGAAGAGAAAAGGTAAAGAAACTTATACTCCCTGTGATACTTTCCGTCAATCCTACTTAGCCAAATTAATTCCGGAATTTGAAACTTGGGTGAATTACATGGAAAAAAGGCACCTTACTGTACATACTTATCAGAAAGAAATCTTGGAAGAAGTTATCTTTTTTTTAAAGTTGACTTTTGATTTTTGGTTAAAGGTTTACATCCGAATTACTACTATTGCCTTTGTTTGCTTTAAATTTTCTGGCTTTATTTAATCAATAACCAATTGCGGCTATTCTGCCAATGGTTCCAGCACCCAATCATTAAAATAAAAAGTAATCACGATTTCTGATTACTGATTT